CGGAGCAGCTTCGACGTTGCCTCGCTGGCTGCGCTTGGGAGCTACAACGAGGGCTTGACGGTGGCCCCGGTGGGCTCCTTCACGAGTGCCGCGCGCCCGCAGGGCCCGCAGCAGCAGCAGGGTCACAGCCAGTAAGTTGAAAACCAGTTCCCGGTGGAACCGGGGAGGAACGTGTTTCTCGGCTGCATTGGCAGTGTGAAAGAAGCTTTCTTTCTTTTCAGGATGAGTTATAATTTGTGTTCTTTTAGTCGGGTTTTGCTCATCCATTGTAAGACTTCTATTGCGCTTGTCTTACAGCCTTGGAAGCTTGTTGGTCGGGGATGAAAGAGCTTTCTAAAAGGAAAAAAATGTGATGAAGTTTACCAACATCTTGATGTACTTTTAAGATCGTACACTTTTTTTTTTATTTTTACTTTTTTAAACTTCCTGTTTCTCATATGTGAGTGCAAAAAACTTAAGTTATTCCATGAAATGTTGTTGTTTGGTCATATTTAATTTGAGTATGTCACTGTGAGACAATGTATTAAGAGACTGAAGTTGGATCACATGTTTTTTCTTGAAGCATTTGAATTTTAGCAAAAATTAGTCTTGCCCCTTGTGGAAAAAATAAATAACGTAGAGGAGGAGAAACTAGCAAAGAATTCTGCTCGGATAACTGAGTTATTACAGCCTTCTTTGACTTTCTTTGAACAAAGTGGTCATTAATTGTCTAAAACTTCCAGTCCCTTCACAGCTGGTGACAAACTGCAACTGTTGCTCTTAGCTGCAAGTGAAATTTTAAAAGGGAGGAAAATATTGTTTGAAAATCTCAATGTGTTAGTTGACTATTTCAAAATATTGAAAATCTCAATGTATTCAATATATAATTAGAAGCCAAATAACCATTTGTTTTTCTTTTGCAGTGTCTCTGTTCGCTGTGGAAAGAAGCATAAGCTAGAACAAGAGGCAGAAGGGTAAATTAAATTTGTTTTTTATAGCCTGAAAAATCAATTTGTCTTTTGTTTTCTATAAAGATTTGAACACATCTCACCTACAACATATGCAGGAAGGGAACTCCTGTCATTGTTTCCATTTGGAACTCTTCCCCAAATCCATCTCAGTTACCTAATTAATTGTGTAGCACCGATGTCCTTGCATGGGTACTCACATTTTAGTAAGAGCAGCATGGATTTATTTTCTTTGTGGAGGTTATGTTTCCATAGTATGTCAAGTCGGTTGAAATGCACATGACTCTCTAACATTTTTTCCTGTAGAATGCCACATTTCTCTTTTGACAATTGTAAACTGATTTTGTTTCCTAGTTGTCCTGTGAGGAAGAAGAGACTGACAGGAGCCAAAAATTGCCCTTTGAATCCCAACACTGAAGAATGGATTCTCTGTGCAGGTCAGCAGGCAGCTGGGGAGGTAGCAAGTCAGTATGGTGGCAGCGGTCCTGAAACTGCCATGTTAGAAATTCCCTGTGAAGAAATGGATCAGACAATGGGGGAACAACAATGCGAGGTTGCTCGCAGGAAGCTTCAGGAAATTGAGGACAGGTAAATGCAGGGATTGAGTAGACTGGCTTTGCTGAGCTTTCCCTTTTTTTGTGGGTGTTAAGGGGTAAATCTAGCACTTAGCAGTGCGATAACACTACTGTAAGCCTGAGATGAACTTTTTGTTAAGTGATTTCTTTGTAGGCTACGTGTGGTCCTGTGAGTCTTGGGGCTGATAATATGATCTGAAATTGAGGGTGCTAGAGCAAGAGATGCTGAATAAATAACCACCTTTTCACAATCATTATGCAGCATCAGTATACCATAATGGGGTTTTGTGCTCTTTTGTGAGTATCCAGAGCTCAAATTTTAACTGATGTTATCTGATCAGACTTGAGCTCAGCTTTTTTCAACCAACTGCAGCTTGTTCTGTGTTTAATACTTCTAAATGCTCAAGGTAGATGTGAATTTGTCAGTGTAGAAAATAGCATGAACCAGACACATATATCTGCACGTATGCAATAAGACTGAGGTTCATCTTTCTGTTAAATACCAGATATCTTGGTGCTGGGGTAATGGGGTGGCTATGGGCAGTCTGTTGCAATCATTCAGTAAATGTACTGTGCATTCTTGCCTTTGAAAGATTTCTGGGAATGTCACCTGTATGTATCAGTTGATTGCAGCTGAGCTAGTATTTTGAAATATCTAAAATGACCACTGCGGACAGTTGTTAGAAAAACCAAAAGTTATATAAATTATAAACCAAGATTTTTTTTTAGATGATTACTCCATAGATGATGCATGAAGGGAAGCAAGGTACTGTTAGATTTTTTTTTTTTTTTTATGGGTAAATCGGAATACTGCTGTATGTCTTTATTATCCGGCTATATCTGCATTACTAAGTGTGCTTTGGACCTCTCAGAGGATTGTTCCCCACCCTTCCGAGCTACTCTGCTAAATTTTCATTGAAAGGTTTACCAGAAACAAAGAAGATACCTGGAGTTTGTTCTGAATGCCTCAACTTTTTGTGCCGTTTTAATCTCTGTGAAATTGGTGCAATGTCATTAAAGGCTAAGAACTGTATTCAGTAGCTTTTCAGTAATTCTCAAAGTTAAGATATGATTGTGACTGAATCATACAGTTTCCCTTGAAGTGAATTTATTTATTTTCTCTTAGTGTATGTCTGCACTGTGCACTGCTGGAGGATGCAGGCAAAACAAAGCTAGCTCAGGTACCAGAAGTGGCACAGCTGCTCAAGTGGCTTCTGTGGTTACAGTCGTTCTTAGAGTATATTGGCCCAAGAGAGACTCATGTTAACATGGCCCCGCTGCTTCTGGTACCCAGCCTAGGTCAGATATCTACACTGTACAGTGCAGTGCACGTAGATGTAACTGTAGTCTGCAGTGGATGTGCCTGTTAACAGTATGCTCAATAGTGTTTATCTCCCTCTTCCCCCTCCGTTCCTAGGATAATTGATGAAGATGAGGAAGTTCATCCTGATGGAAATGTTAGCAATCTGCCCACTCTTATCCTGTCAGATACCCTTAAAAAAGGGATGAAGAGGGATTTTGGTGAAGTCCTGACAAAGAAAATAATAGAGTCTATGTAAGTTCTGGAGGAAATCATGGTGCTGTGTAGCTAACACATGCAAGTGAATAGAGAGACCCAGTCTCATGTTTGTGGAGATGTCCTTAATTACTGCATGATGCAGCCAACGTTGTATAACAGATCATTCATCTGTTCAAAAAATAGGAGAAACTACCCTAATGTAAAAGAGAAGCAAGTGTAACTATAGTGGTCATCAGGCTGTCTGTTTTGTACTCCTCATCTGGACAGAGTTAAATTTGTTAAATAAACCATTATATCTTGATTTTTATGTATCTGACTTTCCAAAAGAAGGTGGTCCTAAAGTGTGACCGTCAGTGATCATCAAGTTTGGTGCGAAAGAAAAGAAAGAAAATACAGGGTTAGTTAGAACTAGAAGTAATAGAACTAGTTAAGGAAAAGCAAATTTAGTGGGGGGGGGGGGGGGGAAAGGTGTATGGATTCTGGAATATAGTTCCAGGCTAGCACAAAGGATGAAGATACTCACTGGTCTTCTGCATTGAATAGTTGTGATTGGAGAATTTAACTTTAACTGAGACTCCATCCCTTCTAGGAGCCGTCCTTCTATGGAGCTGGTGCTTTGGAAACCTCTTCCTGAATTTCTCACAGATAAACTGAAGTCCATCGCTGTTAAGAACTTCAAGCAGCAGAGTACAGAAGGGTGTCAAGCTAAGCAGTCAACACCAAGAGCTGCTTTTGACCCACAGACTGAAACATTCCCTGAATCACAACAGACTGCTATGTCTCCAGATCCGTATGCTAGTTTGGGAATCTCTGGGTGTGTAGAAGAAGAAATGGAGTTGTAGATGCCAGATTTTAGACTGGAAGTGGTGAGCTTCTGGTGGTTTTTGTTGCTGTTTTTCAGTTCCTTCTTCCTTGCTGGTTTGATGTGTGAATCTGAAATTTTTTATTTTTGTTTTTCCTACTAACAGTCATAACAATGTGGATTTGCCAGACACAACTTAAGGAAACTTAAACTCCACCTCCACAATATCAATCTCCCCCCCCCAAGATTTCTGTAGTCCAATCTGTTAAATATTCTTGCTTTTACTGAGAAGGCAATCCAGAGGCTTTTGGAACAAGGAAGTAGCTTTCCGTCTTGTTTAGTGGTGAAACATAATCTTAATTGTCCTTGGTAAAGTATACAGTCCAAATATTGAATGTAACTGTGGCTAAAGCCACATCTTTCACCTACTGAGCCATTAACACTTTGGTGCACATACTGTGTTTTGTCAGTTAGTTTAATTTGAATTACAGAAAGGAAGAAATACTTCTGAGTCTCGTCACAGATAGGAGAGCGATCGCTATGGAAATACAGCTTTTCACACTATTTCATCTGGGGCTATTTCATCCATGGCTGATTTGTATTTGATGTAAACTCAAATGTAGAAATGATACATTCTGCAGTGTGGTAGGGAAGGAATGTTATAGCTGAGCATAAGCCTCTTGCTTTGTAGAAAGTAATAACAGCTACTAACTTGCAAGATACTTACTAACTTGAGTCAGCTTTGGTTCATTGGCTCCTAAATTGTGTTTGTGAGTTTTTGCTGCCTCCCTCCCCAAACGATGCAAAGTCTGCAGAAAAGTGGTTCTCAGCCAATGGATTCACATTTTACATTGTGCTGTGATTCTTTGTGTGCATTGAGTTGGAAAGTCAGTTGAAGACAGTGTAACTTTTGATTAAGTTAATGGCATCCTTTAATTTTGATAAACATGGTAAATAAATCAGATAACAGGGAGCTGCTTTCTGGCGTAAAGAGGGTCAAATGCTTGTTACCATCTGTAACCAAGTCCCAGACTTTAAAACTGCTGGCATTGGTGGTGAAGTAAAGAAGATGCTTGTCTTCTTCCTGAGGGAATCCAGACTTAAAATTTAAGCCAGAACAACATGTGCCATTACCATAACATCACATAGTTTATACAGATGTATGCCAAAAGAATTTTGTACCCTGCTTAGGGTGTTAAGAAAAAAGGAATCCTCAATGAGTTACTGCTTGTGGTTTTCCTCAACGCACAACAGTTCCACTACGCTTAAAACCCTTAAACAAGGCAGAGAATCTTATCTTCTGTGCTTAAATCCTTGAGCTTTCTTGGAGATACCTGAATTGAGGCTTTTTGTAAGAAATTCCTTTCCAAGTAATAGGTTCTGTTCAGAGTCTTAGCATCCCAGTCTGTTTTTGACATCTTGCTAACATAAAGGAGCAAGTACACAGTAATGCAGCTGTTTGCATAAGAAAAATCTACTCTTCCTTTGCACAGCTAATTTATAATCTTTGTGGTAGTGTTTTTTACTGTTGAATAACCCATAGTCGATGATAGTTTAAAGTCAAGCTTCTTCTTTTGCAGTCATCCTTTATTTTCTTTTGGCTGATAGCAGAAGCTTTGTTCAAAGAGTTACCCCTATTTGTTAAATCCTGTCTATCTTGCTGCTCTTTTTGAAGGCTGTGTGAAGTTTGCTGTCTCTTGCTAAAACATTTCAGAGCTTCACTAAAAACATTCCAACATTTGAATAGATATTACTCTGGAAACTGGTGTATAACTTCACCATTCTGGACCTTTTATTAAATTTCAGAACATGTGCAGTTTTATCTTGCTATTATGTCTAATTTCATTTCAATATCTGCTAGAAATCTCTTGCACATATGGTGTAAAATTTCTTGTGTATTATTAAGCTGCTGAACATGGTTAAAATCTACAGCCTTTGACATGCTACATTGCTTGACTATAAAGTAAAGCAATGCAGTCTGGAGAAGGTTGTAGTCACTGCGGGTAGAAAATGTGGTGCCTCCAAGTAATTACCTTTTTTAAAGCTTGCAGGATTATAGTGAAAGTTCAAGGTCGGAACTGTTGTAGCCAATAGCTCTGAATCCTAAATAAACTAAGAAGAAAGGATAAAAATTTCAGAAATTTGATGAAACCATCTCATGAATGCTAAAATTGCAACAGAGGATGTAGAAAACTGGAGGCATATATAAATCAAATCTAGATGCAGTTTTTTCCTCTTAAAAATGACAAATTGCATATCAAACTTGCAGAAAAAGAATTTTTGTAGGTGGCTTTTAAGCATACTTTTTTTGTGTTATGTTTGTACCAAAGGTTGACTTTCAGAGGTGTGTTTCCTCTTAATCATTTGATGCTAATACAGCATCACTGACCCCTATTATTCTGCCATCTGAAACAAGAATTTAGTGGTAACTATTGACAAAGACCACGAGATGAGAAAAAACCTGTGTCCAAGAAATTTGCTCTGGTAGAAAACATTTAATTTTTTCATAATTAATTTCTGCCTGTGTGATATAACAGGGTTGAATCGCTTAAATTGATGGGGGAGGATAAGAGCGGGGTAGAGCAGGACTCAAGAGGACTGAGCAAGATTCTTGCTATAGCAATCATTTGGAGAGGTAAGAGAGAACAAGCTACTGGGTAATTTCAAACTTCTGTATTTTTAACAGTTTCATTTGGTTTTGGCTTCCTTAGGAGACTTCTATTAACACTGTTTACAAGCGGGTTGTCAAATGTGATGCAGTATTAGGAAAAACTTTATTTTGAAATACAGCAGATGTGATTCTGGTCTGTCTTCTCTTGGGACCAAATCACCCTTTGTACATCAGTTTTCAATAAATTTTCTACAATACTTTTTAGATGGCTGTGTTTCATTCCTAATAAAAGTGAAAACCTTGAGAGCATATGTCCAGTCCTTCAACTGGAGCGTGAAATATACTTCTGGCCTAAGAATATTTTTAAGTTAACTACATAGTCCCAAGGCCATGTCAGCTCTTTGCTCCATGGTGTTCAACAGGATGGAGGGAGGAGAGGGGACAACAGCAGGGTAGAATAAATCTGAAGCTGTCAGAAAGGAAGAGTTGCTGTAAATCTGTCATGACCCAAAGGCCTCTTAACAAAACAAAGGGGTATCAAAAGGTGTTGCTATAGCTTGTGTTTTCAGATCTTTCATTTTACTTCAGACTAAAATTAAGAATGCTGAAGTTGCTTAATTCTGTATAAAATGCATGTTTGAATTAGGAGAGTTTTTAAAAAAATACAAATTTTAATAATGATTTATTGGAATGTTACACTTTGCTCTTTTGTTTAATATTTTCTGTTCAAGAGTTTTTCAAGTAGCTGAAGGATAAAGATGGGTGTGCTAGACCAGTATTACTTTTACTTTCAAAATGCTTTCAGGCAGTATTAACTTTATACAGTTGGTTTAAGTTGATTTTCATTTCTTTTGGCAAAGGCATTAGTTTCAGTAGCTGTTAAAATGGTTAGTTATCAATTGCCATGTCTGCAGTGACTCAGTCTTCAACATCAAATTCGCAAGAACACACACCTTGCCCAGAAGTACTGCAGCACTGAACAGAGGCAGTTCCATCAGCCACTACATTTAGTCTTCTATTGCACTACCTTTTAGAGGCCAGACCTTGTCTGTGTGAGGCCAGGAAAAATGGCAACAAAAGCAGTATGCTAGGCTGCATATCTTCAGGGTGCTAATCTCAACCTTCCTCTAGCCCTGAGGAAAGTATGTGAAATATCAGTCCTTTTAGAGGTGCTACTTTCAACTGCTACTTAGCCCTGTAAACTATGTCTCTGAGTTCTAGGCTAGAAAACGTAGAGCTGAGTTTTAAAGGAATGGAACTTCTTCCTTACATTATTTCTGTTGTACTTGAATTAATTTTTTAATTTCATATGAAGTTCCAGTAATACTGACAAAAGTAATGCAAAACTATGCATCAAATTTTCACTTGTCCATTTGCTTTTATGGACTCACAAAAACATGTATTGGGTACTAAGGATGCTCTTGCAGTCCTCCCTATTTTTGAGCTTGAAAGTAAAGCAACATTTTTCAGACTACTTTTTTTTTTTTCAATCTAAGTTTCTGCTATATTGCACTGCTGTAGCTTTTACTGCTATCCGATATTCAGATAGAATCCTTTGTTACAAGTTAGGTTACTCAAGTTTGCAATCCAAAGCAGTCATGTCACCTTGAATGTTAGTGACCAATACCCTCCTGTCCCATCCCCCATTTCTTCCCCCCAAGTTATTTTTGTCAAAGTTTAAGCAAGACATGAAATAGCAACTAAACCAAGAACAGTTGTGCAAAGACCTAGAACAGCTCACACTTTCAGTATAAAGTTTCAGTTGCTTCTCTGTCACTCCAATTCAAGTGTTCTTAATACTGTGGTGTTGGAACACATCTGCACCTTTTTCACCCACTGTATGTCTCACTGCTTCATGAATGCTAGACAGACCACTAGGAATGTACCCACCTTCCCTCAGACTAAGCATTTTGAATTGCACAACTTGCTAACAGGACAATCAGAGTAATTTTATTCAGACATCAAACTACTGCCACCTGCATTCCCAACTCAGGCTGCAGATTTTGCTCTAGCAGCTCTAGCCATCAAACCAACCCACCTACCTCAAACAGAGTTTGCAACATTACACAGTCCCAGACAGAAGCATCCAGCTACATACACCACAGAAGTACTGCTGGATTGGTGTATTAAGGTAGTATGAAGACAAGACAGACCTAATCCCTTAGAATTTCCAGTTTCAAATTCTGAAAAGCCCAGATACTCTCCCCTCCCCACTGAAATCCAATGCAAAGAGTCAGTAAGCTGCATTGCACTTTAATTGCACCAATACAGTTAAATATTAAATGGAGAAAGCAACTCTACATAGCAAATGGAAAACAAGCATTTACATAGTAAATCTGTAAGATGTACAGACTATTTAGTTTTAACCCAGTTGCCTATACATGAATATCCCACTGCAGTTTTTGGTGTTAAAATTATTTGAAGTGGAAAACAAACATTTTTGGATTCATGTAGATAGAATTGGCAAGTTACTGAAAAACAGACTTTCCTCCCTCAAACCAACACTGATGGGGGTAGGAGGGAGGGCAGGACACCCTAGGCTTTTTCATACCAGGAGAAATGCATTGGCCATCACTCCATCTCCTCACACAGGTAGAAATGAGCAACACTTTTCTGAATACACTTTATTTCCCCTCCCACACCCCAAAGGGGCATATCCTGTTATCCTGCCAGGACAGTTACCTAAGGGGAGTTAACACTACTGAGTTAGACACTGATCAGTTGGCGTTTGCATTTTGGGAGCCACTGAAGGGCGACAAGGATCCTTCATATCCAGAGTCACTACAGGCATCCAACAGATAGCTTGAGGCTCCAAGGCTATGATGAGAGGAAAGCAGATCAGAGATGCCCAGTTCAGGCATGAAGCTGTCTACAGGTTCTTCTTTCACAGATACTGGGACCTCAGGTATAGCTTTGTCTTCAGATGGAGCAAGAGATACTTCCTCAATTTTCACTAGCATATTGGTTTGTTTGCCCATTTTAACAGGAATCTCCACTATTAGGGGCTTTGTGTACACATGATCAAACCTTATCAGTTCATTAATGGCCTCCAGCTTAGCTGATGAGGACCCCAAAGATGGAGAGGGGGAGGCTGGTATGGAATTTGTTTCTCCACAGATCTCTTCCTCCAGCTTTTCCAGGCACGTTGACTCTGAATCATCATATTTGAGAAACATCTCTGGGTCCAGACTGTCCAGAAAGCCCAAGAGGAGATCAGACTGCAGAATGAAATACTGTTTTAGAAAGACAGCCTACTACTGTTACAGCAAAACATAGCTGTGGCATCTGTTAACCCTCATCTGGAAGTTAATATACACTAATATGATCATAGAACTATGAATTTTACCAAGAACACCACTATCAGAACAGACAGTTAAGCCAATTACTTACCTTTCAGAAACTTTGTCCATTAACTTTTTTGTTAAGGTACGGGCAATCCCCATAGAATTCTACATACATTTGATATTCACAGCCTCTACTAGAAACTCCTCAAGATCTCAAACCCATCAGGTACAAACATCACACTACCAACTGGTTCCACAGAGCAAGTGCCAAAACCTGACTTAGGCAAACCTGCTCATGACCAGAGCTGGGGGGATTTGTCAGGTTTGTTTGGTTTTTGAGGTTTTGTTTGTTTTATTGTGTTTTTTTTAATAAAAGGTGAAAGATACCTGTCCTTACATTTCTGGAAGTCATTCAGAAGGGACAGGTTTTAAGTTAGAACGGCTTTGCTAAATGTCAGCACATCAGCAAAATGATCAAGTTTGTTTTCGACAACAGTAAAAGCACAGTATGCCTTTGCTATTTGTACACTTTTGCTGTAAGAGCTACAGGACTGTTTCAGGCAGTATGCTCTAACATTTTATGGAAACTGGACTTGTTGAAGTTGCAAACTCCTGTGTTCACTGGATACAGCCTAACACAGCTGTTTTGAGTCACAAGTATAGCTGTTCAAGACTTGAAAAACAAACCAAGTACAGAAAGTCATCAAGTGACTTGATATAAAGTTACAACACTAGTCTTAAATTCATGGAGGTTCCGAATTTCATGGGCATTTTGGACAGGAGTGGATGCTCACCTCTGAGTCTGAAGAGTCACTGCCATCAGAATCCATGTGAAAGTTATCAGAAATAGTGACTGCTGGGCCTGCACCTGCTGCAGAGGAACACGTAGTCTGAGTGCTGCGGACTCAGCGGACCCGGTCACCACTCTAATCTCATCCACCTGCGATTCCTTTACAACCTGTGCCAAGGAAAAAGCCAGTCAGTCATCACAAAAGTTCTAGCAGACAGTACACAATCCTAAAGATCATGCTCCTCCTGCAAAGACATCCAACATTAGGTTCTCCACTTGCTTGTGCAATAGGAACCTGAAGGTAAGACCACTTCCAAAATGGGTTCAAACTTCCATGAGTTTGCAGATTTATTTTGGTTACACTTTTCAATGACAGCCTGACCACTTGCACTATAATCCCCTGTTCTTTTGAGACAGGCATAGGTGACTCATAATTACTACTTCAGTTCTAGAACATAATGTAGAAAAGCAGATGAAAATCTTAAAACTGCCTGGAACTAGCTAGTTTGCTACCCCCCATGCTACCAGTGGCACCTGCCTCAGACTTGGTCCCTGCTTAGGCTGTGGGCAAGCCTCCATTGGTAGCACAAGAGAGTTTCCGGCACACACAATACACCTCTTCGCAGCACGGCAGCTTCAGCTCGAGAGCTCCCAGCACCGGGGTTACTCCTCCCCACCCACCGCCACGCAGCTAGCTCCTGGAGCACGGCAGCTCTTGGCAGGTTCTGCCCAGAAAGAGGGGGACAGTCCACCAGCGCGGCAGCAGGCTCACCTCGGACTCGCTCTCCCCCTCTGTCTTCAGAGCATCTAAACCCAGGC